GTGGGGAGGCTAGTCTCTGTGAACATGGAGGTAGTGGGACTTACTGCCTGTATGGCAGGGCTTGGGTCGGGTGGAGTGTTTGTGATATCACAAAGACAGGGTCTTTGTGCAGAAGGTGGGAGTCCTCGCCTGGCACCTGGCATCATCGTTCCAGTTCCATCTCCTCTGCCCTGTCAAATTCTCTGGGCCTTCTCAGACCCCACCTCACATGAGCTTCCTTCAGAGATCCTTAGTAAAATACCAGCACACTGAGTCCAGCAACACATAAACAGAAGTATACACCATGGAAAAGTGGGATTTATCCCAGGAAGACAAGGTTGGTTTAACATCCAAAATTAAAGATTGTAATAAACCATATCGGTAGAATAAAACAAGAAAAATCACATTCTCATCTCAACAGATGCAGAAAGTGCATCTGACAAAACCTACCACCAATTTCACTTTAAAAAAACTAAACAAACTACAAATAGAAAGGAGCTTCTTCAACTTCATAAAAGATATTTATGGAAACCTTACAGCTAACCTCCCACTGAATTGTAAAAGCTAGCTGCTTTTCTCCTAGGTTAGATTAGGAGCAAGGGCGTCTTCTCACCACTACTATTCAACACTGTATTAGAGGTTCTAGCCAGAAGAAGTCAGCAATAAAAATAAACAGAAGTCAGCCAGACGGGAAAAGAAAAAGTAAAACTCTCTTTTCAAACTTTACATGATCTTTTACCTAGAATATCCTAAGAAGCCCAATAAAAACAGTATTATTTCTAACAAAAGTAGTTCAGCAAGATTTCAGGGTACAAGATCAATATGCAAAAATCATTTGTATTCTCTCTACTTGTAATGAAGAATTAAAAATGAAATTAAGAAAATAATTTCATTTTCAGTTTCACCAAAAGGAATAGAATACTTAGGAATGCATTTAACAAAAGAAGTTCAACACTTATGTTCTGAAAACTACAGAACACTATTGAAGGAAGCTAGAGATCTACATAACTGAAAAAGCATCTCATCCATGTTCACGAGTCAGAAGACAGGATGTTGCTGAGATGACAGTATCCCTCAAATTGATCTGCAGATCCAACATAATCCCTATGACAGCTCCAAAGAATCCCCAAACAATCTCTTCTTTGTAGACATTGATAAGATGATTCTAAAATTCACATGGAATTGCAAGAGATCTGCAATGCCAAAATAGTTTTGAAAAAGAATAAAGTAGAAAGACTCACACTTCCCAATTTTAAAATTTACTACAAAGTAGCAATAATCAAGACTGTGAAACATTAGCACAAGGACAGATATCTAGATCAATAGAACAGAATTGTGAGTCCAGAAATAAAACCATACATCTATGGTCACCTGACTTTTTTACAAAGGTGTCAAGACCATTCCATTGGGGACAGAATAGTCTTTCCAACAAATGGTAATGAAACTTTATAACTATGTGGAAAAGAATGAAGTTGTGTCCTTACCTCAGACCATATATGAAAATTAATTTGAAACTGATCAAAGATCTAACTGAGGGACTGTGTTAACTTATCTTCCCAGATCTAACTTCTCTTCCCAAGTCCACAAGGGGCAGGACTTCAAAGGCAAGAACTTCCCAGCACCATACCTCCATCCACCATCCCCATCTGGGAGCCTAGAGTTCTTTGTGTAACTTTTGTATGCATGGGAAAGGTGAGCTCCCTTTGTTTAGAAAACCCGCAAAAAGCTATGGGAGGACTGTGGGCTGGGCAACCAATCCAGCATCAGAGTCAAAAATCAATCACTCCAGAGGAAGTTTGGAAGAACTCCTCTCACCGGACGAGGACTTGAATGGGACAGGAGTAATTCCTAGATTAAAAGTCTCCCTGCTCCATACCTGTGCGGACTCCATCTCTGGATCCCCTCCCATGACAATGTGGGAGTTCCCTCTCTCTCACTGTCTCCCTACTTCTCTCTCTCTGTGCCTAAAAAATAGCTTTACTGCAAGACTCTTTGAGTCTGATATTCACCTGAACGAGCCCACTGCGCCTCCAGGGCCTCTTCCTCCATTCCTGGGACAGGGGGGCAAGAGCCTAAAACACCCAGTTACATAATCATAATAGCAAAAGTGTAACAGTCTTAGAAGGAAACATAGAGGTAATCCTTGGTGACTTTGGTTTTGGCAAAGATCATGGCACCAATAATACAAACAACAAAAGAAAAGATAGAGTTTGGATTTCACCAAAACTGAAAACATTTGTGCTTCAAAGGACACTCTCAAAAGTTACAGGACAACTCACAGGATGGGAGACAGTATTTGCTAATCATCTATCGGATCAGGGACTTGTATCATGAATATACAAAGTACTCTTATAACCAAGGAAGGGAAACAAATGGCCAAAAGACACATGCAAAGATACTCAATATCACTAGTCATATGGGAAATGCAAATCAAACCCACGATAAGGTGGTACCTCACATCTACCAGAAAGACTAAAATCAAAAACATGAGATAATAACAAGTGATAGAACCCTCAAACTTGGCTGCTGGGACTGTAAAATGGTGCAGCCACTCTGGAAAACAGTCTCCTAGTCTCTTAATTACACAGAGAGTTACCACAGAACCCAACAATTGCACGACTAGAAATATACCTAAGAGAATACACGTCCAAGTTTCCAAGATGGCAGTGTACAAGCAAGCTGGCTTCCCTCCCATCTCAAAGAAAATCAAAATCAAATATACAGCACTGAAATTATCACCAGCAATAGCCCAGAACTCAAATATGAGGATGAGATAGTTCCTGGGCCACAGAAAAGTAGAAAAACTCAGAGAAGATGGTAAGAAAACAGGATTCATACCCACAATTCCCCTCTCCCCAATCTGTTCAGCACCAAATGTGCAGAACACTTTCCCCCAACTCATAGTTTCTACACTGGAAAAAGTGACATGCAGGTAGACAACCAGCTTCCTTCCCATTTTGGGTTTCCTGGCAGGAGACCTGCCCTGCCTCAACCCAGGGGAAACACCAGGAGTGCCTGAAGGGAAATATATTTCTGAGGAAAGTCAGAGACGAAAGGGGAAATGGGACTACCATCCCCACAACTGAAAACTCTGCTGTGTGACTCAGCCAAAGGAGGCACCAAATCAGGATGGCTGTTCACAGTGCCATGCTGGAGGAAGTAAGTGCCACAGGACCCAGGCATGCAGCCCTGGCCAGCCTTCCCACACTACCAGGATATCCCCTTGGAGCCCCCCTCTTTGGGACTGGTAGCACTTTACTGTTAACTAGAACCAAGGCAAAGTTGGGCTCATGTTGTCATATAGTGCAGAAAAGGAGGCAGCAACCTAGCAGGAAAAAAGAAAAAGAAAAAGAAACACATAAATCACAAAGAACTCTAATCAAACATATCCAGTAAAAACTAGGCTGGGTGTGGTGGCTTATACCTATGATTCCAGCACTTTAGGGGGTCGAGATGGGAAGAGAGCTTGAGCCCAGGAGTCTGGAACCAGCTTGGGCAACATGGCAAAACCTCATCTCTACACAAAATATATAAAAATTAGCTGGGCATTGTGTCATATGCCAGTGGTCTAAACTACTCAGAAGTCTAAACTACACAGAGACTGAGGTAGGGGGATCACCTGAGCCTGGGAGGTGGAGTTGCAGTGAGCCATGATCACCACTACACTCCAGCCTGGGTGACAGAGTGAGTTCCTGTCTCAAAATAAATAAATAAAAATTTTATTTATTTAAATAAATAAACCCCAAGCGAACAAACATAAAGAAGCCAGACAGAGAAGTGTGAAATAAACACGTAATTATTCTGTGCAAGGACATAGACATACAGTCACAAGAAACAACAGCAAACAGGGAACCAAGACCTTCCCAAGCGAACACAGCAAAGAACCAGTAACTGATCCTAAATTGACAGCAATATGTGAATTCGCTGACCGAGAACTCAAAATAGTTTAAGGAAACTCAGTGATCTTCAAGATAACAAAGAAAGGCAATTCAGAAATTTATCAGAAATATTTAACAAAGAGACTGAAATAATTTAAAAAATCAAACAGAAACCTTGGAACTGAGAGATATAGTTGCTGAACAGAAAAATTCATTACGGGCTCTCAACAGTAAAATGAATAAAGTAGAGGAAAGAATCAGTGAGCCTGAAGACAGGCTATTTGGAAGTACACAGACAAAGGAGAAAAAAGAGAGAAGAATGAAAATGAAGAACCTGTAAGATACAGAAAATTACCTCGAAAGACCCAATGTAAGAATTACTGGTGTTCAAGAGGGAGTTAACCAAGTGCTAGGGGTAGGAAGCTGATTCAAAAAATAATAACCAAAAACTTTTCAAAACTTGAGGAAAAGATAAATATTCAGGTAAAGGAAGGTTAGAAAACGCCAAAGAGATCTGACCCAAATAAGACTACCCTGACACATATGATAATCAAACTCTCAGAGGTCAAGGACGGAGAGAGGACCCTAAAAGTGGCAAGAAAAATAAGACGTATGAGGGAGCTCTAGGTCACCTGCCAACAGAATTCTTAAGAGAAACTCTACATGCCAGGAGGGAGTGGTATGACATTTTCAAAGTGTTGAACAGAAAAAAAAAATCCCCAACTGTCATCCAAGAATAATGTATCCAGCAAAACTGTACTTCCAATGTGAAGGAGAAATAAAGTCTCTCCCAAACAAACAAAAGCTGAGAGAATTCACACCACCACAGCTGTCTTGTAAGAAATGCTAAAGGGAGCTCTTCAATCTGAAAGAAAAGAAACACTCTTATACAAAATGAAAACATCTGAACGTATAAAACCCAGTGGTAAAATTAAGTACAGACAGACCAAAATATTGCAATGCTATAATTGCAGTGTGCAACCCATGCATAACTTCGAAGTATGAAGTCCAAAGACAAAACTACTAAAATCAATGATAGCTACAGCAACTGATCCCTGAGCAAGGGAGAAAAAAACAGATATGAATAGAGACTCTACTATGACTACTCAAGTACATGCAGGCAAACAAATGTTCATGAACATTTCCACTAAACAATAATTTTCTTTATTTTTCTCTTACAACAAACCATAAATGGGCCACGTATAGGAGCAGTGGGTAAGTGTCCCTGGCTTACAATGGAATAATGGAGAGCAACATTTCTCTGCAGAACAGGTGAAGATGGTCAGACCCTCCAAGGAGGGTCCTCATAACAGGATACTGCTGACTATGATAAAGGCAAAGCTCAGGAATAGTTTTGACTCCCCCAACCGCACAGTTCCTTCTGGAAGTTCCTCTTCAATTGTTGCATCAGGTAATATGTCCCTTTCAAGATTAGTAGGTCCTCCTGCATTGCAAGTCATGCTATTACAACAACGAACCCAATAGAAACTATTCGCTTTGATCTGTTTTCTTGGGGCTTCAGGAGGCTGTTCAGCTGGATACACAAATGTGCAGTTGTTTGTACAGTTCTTATAAACAAGTAGTTCACGAGAGTTTATGCCTAAAAAAAGCAGCAATGAAAATAACTGATTTCATTTTTCTGCTTGTAAATATTGAAGCACATACACCTCACATTCAACCATAACTAGCTCCACGTCCACATTCTACACTCCCAGCTGTGACAACATTGTCTAGAATACTTGACTGAGAGAGAATATCCAAGTCCACTAGCGGGTCTCATCACTCCAAGAATATCTTCCAGAGATAGTTTTCTACCTAAACTGCCATCTTTAGGCCTCCGGCCCTTCCAAAATGATATCATGGTACCTTGTCATGTAGCTACACACAATGAAACATCTTGTTCATTTTTTGTGGTAAGAATTCTAGGCTGGGCACAGTGGCTCACACCTGTAATCCCAGCACTTTGTGAGGCCGAGGTGAGCGGATCACAAGGTCAGGAGTTTGAGACTAGCCTGGCCAACATGGTGAAACCTTGTCTCTACTAAAAATATAAAAAATTAGTTGGGCATGGTGGCATGCACCTGTAGTCCCAGCTACCTGGGAGGCTGAGGCAGGAGAATCCCTTAAGCCCAGGAGGCAGAGGCTGCGGTGAGTGCAATCATGACATTGCACTCCAGCCTGGGTGACAGAGCAAGACTCTGTCTGAAAAAAAAAAAAAAAAAAAAAAAAAAAAAAAAAGAATTCTAGAGCTCTAGAAATTTAAAGCAGACCAGAAATCATGTTTCGCTTATGGTCCAGGGATCATATGGACCTTTAACAGGGGTGCCCATGTTAGTGTGTCCTTATCCAAATTTTCTGCAGTTGGCAAAACGCTTCTAGAGTAAACTCCTTCTTGGGACCCTCAGCCTTGTGTTTAATCTCCTGGACCAACATATAAATGCTCTTGAGCCCTTGGTGCCAGCCTCCTCCCCAGCACAGACTTGAAGCAACATTCTAACTAGGGTTCCACAGCTAACGTGATTGATAACCATCACTAGAGGGCTTGTCCAGTGGCCTCAGCTGACCAATGCCACCTGACCCAAGCTCCATGTAACACCTCCTTCAAGAATCCCTAGGTTAAATACCTTGGCCCTTATCATTACTTCCGTTCCCCTTGAAGTCTATCCAGTGTTTACACAAATACTTTATTCTAAAACTTACCATAATTGATGTATCCATTCATGGCTCTAGGTCTTGTCTCCTCCATAACACCAGAAAGAACTAACGAATATGAACCAGTCACTTGTTTTCTATTATTTTCCATTTTAAAAGTTTATTGGAGTTCAACATTCTACAGAAATGTGCCTGACCATAAGTCAACAACTTGATGGATTTTCAGAGTGCTGACAGCCAGTACTCAGCAAACAGCTTCGGACACAGAGCTGCATGACAGTCCCAGGACTCTCCCCTCCGTTCCTCTACGCAGACACTACTGTAAGGAGCTCAGGCCAAAGACAGGAAATGCGTGGGCTTCTAAACCTATAGGCTAGTTCTGTTTGCTTGGAAGTATACAGTATGTCTGCTTTTGTGTATGGCTTCTTTTGCTCTACTCCGTGTTTATGAAATTCATCCCTATTGTTGAACACTGCTGTATACTGTTCATCCTCATAACTGTGTAGCATTACATTAGTGAACATACCATAATTTATTGGTGATGGACGTTAAGGCTGTTTCTGGTTTTTGTCTACTCCAAATAGTGCTGCAATGAATATTCTTGTCTTGTATTTGCCTTGAGGTGAGCCTGTAAATTTTTTTTTAAATATTAGCTAGGTACCTAGGAGTAGAAGTGCTGAATCCGAGTCTCTGATATGCAGTGTTAGCAGATAACATCGAATTGTTTTCCACACTGGGTTGAACCTATCTATAGTCTGAGCGATTGTGCACACTTCAGAACCCTGACAACACGTGGTATGATCGTTTTAGGACATTGAGTCATTTCTTGTGGTGTTATGGTGTTGTGGTTTTAAGCTGCATTTCTTTCAAGGAGAATAACACTGAACAACTTTTCTTATATATTGTGTTACACATTCAGATACCATTTTCTGACAAATTTCCTTTAAGTCTCTCGATCAGCTTTTTATTAATTTGTAGGAAGAAGTTCATTATATTGTGAATACAAGTCCTTTTGTAGGTACATGTTTTGAAATGCTTTCTCCTCATCTGTGGCTTGCAATTTTAACTATTTCACACACACACGCATCTTCTTAGGAACAGAAGTTGTGAAATTAAAGGTAAAATGTATCAGTTTCATTCTTATGTGACTAGCACTATTTTGTTCCATTTTTTGAATTCTTAATTCCTAAAAGTCACAAATACAGCATTTTATATTTTTCTCTAAAAACTTCGTTGGTTTAATATTTACATTGAGATCCACAAACCACCTCAAACTGCTTCTTTTATATGGCACAAATATTGTGTACAAATATCTAACATATCCACTACTACTCAGTGCAAAGAATTGTCTTTACCCACTGCACTGCAGGGTCAACTTTGTCAGAGATCAAGAAACCAGATGCATGTGGCTTTTTTGGAATTATTTCCCTTCTAGTGTTGTATTTTTCAATCCTGACCACAGGGCCCAACACTGAACTGCCTTGATTAAGGAAGTTATATGACTAATCTTTACAGTTCAGAGCGCAAGTCCTTGGGCTTTTCTCATTTTCTCCGAGACTGCTTTGGCTATTTCTAGCCCTTCATCTTTTCAATAAGCATTTGGCACCAACTTGTCAAAACACAAACACACCCCTGCTGAAACTCTGATTGACATTCTTTTGAATTTGTAGGTGAACTGGAGAATAGATATCCTTACTCTGTTGGGTCTCATGATCCATAAGCATAGTGTACAAATCCACGTGTTTAAGTCTTTAATGGTCTTTTAAGTCTTCAACAGAGTTTTTGCAGTTTCAGTGTCGAAATCTTGCACAAATCTAGTTAGATTTGTGGTGCTTGATTTTGTGATATTTTAAAGAACAACATTCCTTGGAAATTTTCATTTTCAATTTGTTTCTTGATGTACAAAAAGACAATTCATCTTGTAAACTGATTTTTGAATCCTTATCTTGTATCCAGGATCTTTCCTAAAGATAATTGTTATTTGAAGTTTGTTGTCTCTGATGAACAGTAAGCAGTTTAAATTCTTTCTTTCTGCTCACCATGCGTCTTAATTCTTCCTGTTGCCTAACTGAAATACCTAAGAACTCCAGTTTCTTTGGGAATAGAAGTGGTGATGGCAGACATTTCCCTCAGAGATTTGGAAAGGGTGTTGGATTTTGTCAACACATTTCAGCATCTACAATTATCTCTGCCCTTTTCTTTGTTAATATGGTGAATTAAGCTGGTGGGTTTCAAATTGTAAACCACATTGTAATTGTTAGTGAATCCACAAGATACTGGGGTTATGGGGTGTGTGTGTATCTTTTATTTTAAAATAGTTTTAGGTTGTTAGGAAAGTTGCAGAGATAGTACAGAGTTCCTATATGCCTCATACCCAGGCCCCTTTTCTCATACTGCCTACATTACTATGGCACACTTTTCACAACTATTAAACAAATACTGATAAATTCTCACTAATACAATTCCATATGTTATTCAGATTTCATTGATTTTTCCTTACTGCCCTCTTCCTTTTCCAGAATCCCATTGAAGATAGTGCATGGCATTACATGTGCTTACATACATCAAGGATTTGGCTGGTTTTGTTAGTATATTTGCATCTGGAGTCATATGAAACGGTAGCCTATAATTTCCCTTTTTAAATAGTCTTTGCTGGTTTTTGGTTTTAGGGTTAAGCTTCCATCATAAATGTACTGGGAGGCAATTAATCCTTGTTGGTGATCTGGAAGAGCATGTGTAAGACTGCTGCTATTTCTCCCACAAATATTTTGAAGAATTTGCCAATGAAGCCATCCGGGCCTCGTAATTTCTAGGTTGGTAGGTTTTCCACAAAGATTCCATTTCATTAACAGGATACTTCAGCATTACAATTTTGTTGTAGGTCAGATATGGTTGTGTTTTTCACATTTTTGTTTAGTTCATCAAGATCTTAAATTTAGCTCAGGAGGGCCATTTAGAGGAGACTCCTATTTTCTTTATAAGGCTTGTAAAATTTGACGATGGCTCTCTCTTTATGTCTGATACTGGAAATGTGAATTTTAGTTTTCTTTTACTCTCTTATTTTATTTTACCAACACGGTGACTATTTCCAAAGAACCAACTGTTGGCTTTGTTGATTTTATATATTCCTTTTTTTTTTCTACCTTAAAGATTTCTGCAATCCATTTGATATTTCTTCCTTTCTCATTTATTTGGGTGGATTTTTCATTATATTTCCAGGTCTTGAATGGAAGCTCAGATGCATCACCCTCTAGGATGTCACTGTGATGGTATAGATTTTGCTCTAAACACTCCTTTGCCACTTTCCACTCACTGGACATGGCCCGTCTTCATAATCATTCACACCTTAGTATTTCCTAATTTCTGCTGTGGCTTCTCTCTTGTGTAACTGATTATCTAGGAATGCTCTGCTTAATGCCATGCACTTGCGAGGCTTCCTAGTTCACCATTATTTCTAGCTTAATTCCACTGTAATAGAGAAAGAAATCTAAATAATTTCAATCCCTTGACTCTGCTGATGCATGTATTATGTCATTCATTTTGTAAAAGTCAATGTTGTAAACATCACATGTGAACTTGCAAAGAATATGCATTGGGTGATTTCTGGCTTCTGATATGTTGATTATTCCATTTGTTAATGGTAATGTTCAGAGCTTCAACAGCAGAGGTGGGCAAGGCAGAGCCCATGGGACAAATCCAGCCCACTCAGTGTGTGTGTATACGACACTTTGTTGTACCACAGCAGCAATAACATGTTATTAATGGCTGTTTCCGCCCCTACAAAGACAGAGCCAGGTGGTTTCAACAGAGACAAGATGGCCTACGAAGCTGAAACCATCTACTATCTGGTCCTTCACAGAAGCAGCCTGGCCACCTCTGTCTATAGCCATAATGAGTTTTGTCTCCATACTACAGCATCTGGTAGCTATAGTGAGAGGGGTATTAGCGACAACTACGTGACTATGGATTTGCCTACATTTCCTAAGTTCTGTCAAATTGTTTTCTTTTTTTCTTTTCCAGACAAGATCTTCCCACTTTGGTGCCCAGGCTGGAGTGCATGGCACAATCGTGGCTCACTGCAGCTTCAGCCTCCCCAGGCTCAAGTGATGTTCCCACCCCAGCCTCCTGAGTAGCTGGGACCACAGGTGCATGCCACTATACCTGGCTAATTTTTCCGTTTTTTGTAGACATGGAATTTAGCCATGTTACCCAGGCTGGTCTCAAACTCCTGGGCCCAAGTGATCCTCCTACCTCAACTTCCCAAAGTGCTGGGGTTACAGGCATGAGCCACTGTGCCCAGCCTCTGTGATCACATTTTAAGCATATCTCTTGCAGCCAGAACACATAGATTTTTGTTTACTCTGAAAGTCCTAGGCTGCTAATTGTAACCTTTTAAATGTTAATGTAATTAATGATGTAGTAATTATTTAACTTGCTTTTCATTAAATGTTTTCAGATAATTTTGTATTGAAATAGAATCGTAAGAAGTAACAGCCCATGTGGGCCCTTTATTCAGTCAGTGAGGGCCCACATGGCCAAACACTTTGCAAAGCTAGGTAACACCAATGCTAACACCTTGCAAAACTACCATAGAGCATCACGGGAGTACTGTCATTTCTATCATGCTATATTAATGAAACCACATAGCATGTAACCTTTGGAGACTGCCTTTTGTCACTCAGCATAAATTCTTGCAGGTTCTTGTGAGTTGTGTGCATCTATAGTGTGTTCCTTTTCGGTGCTGAGCAGTATCCCATGGTGTGGATATACCATGGTTCATTTAACCCTCTACCCATTGGAAGATATCTAGAATGTTTTCAGTTTGGCGGTATTAAGAAATAAAGCTGCTGTGAACACCCATGTACATGTTTTGGTGTGAACCTAAGTTTTTAGTTCTCTGGAAAAAAAACACCTCGGAGTGCAATTCTGGGGATGTATGGTAGTTCCACTTTTAGTTCCTAAAGAAAGTGCCACACTGTTTTCCATATTGGCTGCATGTCTCCATTCCCACTAGAAATGCGTGAACAATCTGGTTTCTCTGAACCCTCACTAACACTTGGTGTCGCCATTATTCTTTATTTTGGTCGTTCTGATTGGTGGTATCTGACTGTGATTTTGATTTGCACTTTCCTCGATGGGTTAATGACGTTGGTGATTTATCAATGTGCCTATTCGCCATCTGTGAATACATTCTGCTGAAATGCACTTTATGTTTCTTGCCTATTTTCTGATGAGACTGGCTGCATTTTGACTACTCAATTTTGAGAGTTCTTCATGTGTTTCAGAGTATTAGTTCCTTGTGGAACATGTGGTTACAGGTATTTTCTCCCAGTCTGTAGATTGTCCTTTCATTCTGTTAACAAGGTCATGCAGAGATTAAAAGAAAAAGATGTAAAATGGGCTGAAGCTCAATGTTAAAAAGCTTGCCTTTTATGGACCATGCTTTGGTGTCAAGTCTAAGATTCTTTGCTTAGAACTTGATGCTAAAAGTTTCCTCTTATGTGTTTTTATTCCTAGAAATTTTAGTTTTACCTTTTTACATTTAAGCCCATGATCCATTTTGAGTTCATTTTTGTGTAAGGTTTGAGGTCCAGGCTCATTTTTGCCTATCAGTGTTGAGGAAGCCGTCCTTCCTCATTTGACGGTTTTGGCACCTTGGCCAAAAATCAGTTGGGCATATCTGTGTAGAGTGATTTCTAGGTTCTCAATTCTGTTCTGCAGATCTATGTGTCTGTCCCTCCACTCACTGATGTTGGCTGTGGGTGGAAGGAAGCTCAATCCCTGACACTCAAAATGCTTCTTTCCATAGAGGTCTTTTGCTTACCATCCTGCACAGCCCCAGAAATCAGCAAATCTCCTGAAAGGAAAAATGCCCCAGCATTCCAGCATTCCCAATCTCTTGTCCTAGTATCTCTCAGGGTTCATTCAGAAAAATGGAGATCCTAAAGCAGTATAGGTCTAGGTCACTAAATACAAGTGTTACAGCTGCCATGACCGTGGGGGAGCCAAGAAAGGAAGTCAGTGAGTTGAGGCTGAAGATCAGAGGAACAGTCCAGAGCTAAGTCCACTTACATTGGGGCAGCTGGAACAGGGCAATATCAAAGGCCATGCACCTTTGTCTTCTCAAGTAAGGTTGTGCAGAGGGGTCTCTTGCAGGGATGTTTAAACTGCTCCACTGGAGCAGCCATCACTAGGCGGGCCAGTAGCCAAATACCTGCTGGAGTCTTAGGAACTGCTTTCAGTCAAAGGCTCAGAAGTGAAGATGGGATGGGCATGGAGGAGGACACAAGTGAGGGCAGATTGAAGTCCACCAATGTCCATCACTGTATAAAACCATCACGATCTTCCAGGAGAGTGATCTCTGCTGCACCCATACCTTGCAAATCTCACTCAAGTTCCTCTTTTTGACAAGTATTGCCCCATGAGGGAGTTGTGGAAAAGATAGTTCTCAGTCTCATTTAGAGGCAGTAATCGCAAAATGACAAAACCATGCCATCAAGGTCCCCAGCAGTGGCTACTGGGGAGACAAAGCCCAGATTCTTAGCCTCCTGCCCATGTCCCAAATCAGCAGTTGGTCTGAAGAAGAGGTGTCTATTAGTCTATTCTCACACTACTATAAAGAACTGCCTGAGACGGGGCCATTTATAATTGACTCACAGTTCCACATGGCTAGGGAAGCCTCAGGAGACTTACAAACATGGCAGAAGGGGTAGCAAACACATCCTTCACCAGATGGCAGGAAGGAGAAGTGTCAAGGAAAAGCCCCTTATAAAATCATTAGATCTTGTGAGAACTCACTCACTACCATGAGAACAACATGAGGGCAACCAGCTCCATGATTCAATTATCTCCCACCGGTTCTTCCCACGACACATGGGGATTATGGTAGCTACAATTCAAGATGAGATGTGGGTGGGGACATAGTCAAACCATCTCGAGGTGGTAATCGGGGAATTATTTTTGCACAAAGCTTAGAACACAGAATGACATGTGAAGTTGCAAACACAACCACGGACGCTGGGAACAAAAGGGCTGAAGGAAAGGTCCTGAGCAGGGCCGCAGACAAACCCTCCATGTGGGCACCAGGACGCACACTGGCTGCACCCTCCCTGCTTGCTTCATTGGTCACTGGGCCTCTGGCCATACACCTTCTGCAGGTGAGGGCCCTACGGAGAGGGGCCACCTTTCTCTGAGTACCAGAGGGCTCTGAGGAAGAAGGAAGAGCATCCTGGAAGTGCAGGCTCTGCCCTGAACTTACGCTTGGCCTTCCCATCTGTGTGTGGTGTGCTTTGCCCTGAGGGGTCCATGGCGCATCCACTGCTTGGACCTACTGAGCTGGAAGCACTCTCTAGACTACTAGAAATCGAATGACCACTGAGGACTTGCCTAGGCAGCATGGGTGTCTACACACACAACCAGGGACAGTGGAGGCTCTGAGATCCAGCAATGCTCCTACCCCCTGGAGACACTGCAGATGCGCGGACAGACTATCCTACCTTGCAGAGTACCTGCCGCTACAAGATGATGCATGCTGGCCTATCATGAGGCTAAGACCAAGGCCTGCAGAGATGCACTCAGGGTGGGCGACGTGAGGAAAGGGGAAATAGAGCTGGGTGCAGAGAAGAAAGCAGACTGGCTCTGCCCACAGAAACTACCTGTGGGGAACATTCCCGTGTGAGACCCCCAAAAGGTGTGAGTCTCACTATACGGTGAGTTTGATCCCAAACACAGTTTCCTACTGGAGGCAGTCGAGCTATCCGGAAAAATAGGAACTTAAAGATGAATGATCAGTTTCTAATATCGACCACAATATCGTTTGGGCCTAAAACTATGCGGTGCTGCTAGACCGAGTGACCCCCTGCCTGTAACCGGTTCCTGCTTTTAACTTTTTTATGACTCTCTCTTTAAGAATAAGTTTAAACCTTTTCTTTACTTACCTGACTGCCTTGTACCCTAGATAATGGTTTAACTGCTGATATTTGCAAAGCAAATGCCACCATACGGGATGGCTTTGATTTCTGACTCAGAGACTCCTGAATGGGGAAGTTGAGATAAGTTGAGTCAGGAGTAGACAAAGGAGAATCCGGTTAAAAGATATTCTGATGAGCAAAACCAAAAAACCTTTTCACATCTCAGTTCTAAAACAAGATCAAACCAGAGATACCTGCAGCCAGGAGGAATAATGTCTGGATATAAACAAGCTTTGTGATCACAGGAAACTCTGTTACTTTTTACAACCACTGATTGTGTATCTGACTTTTCAATTGTATAGGCCATGTAAGGTACACATTTGCATTTCCTCTTGCTATGATGTAAACCAGAGCAGAAGAAAGTGTATTTATTCCTGGCCTTTGAAAAATAAAATTTGCTGTTTAGGCACAGCCTATCAGCCCTCCAGACGCCTCGCTTTCTCTCTCTCTGTCTTTTCCAAGCGCACCCCCTCTTCCAGGTATTGGGACCCTCTTGCAGGTCGAGAGACCCCCAGCAGACGTGCCTACCCGTCCCGGACGGTCCCCGACAACTACCCAAGTAGGAAACTAATCCCCAATTTGTCAAAATGACAAAGAGGTACTTACGAATGGAGATTGTCATACAGCGCCTAATGTCATACGGACATACTCTAATGTTGGGACAGTTGAAGTCGTTTATGACCCCACAGTCATGGCATTTCAAACTATAGGTCCCTGAGGAGAGAAAGAGACATCAGGCTTCTGCTCCCCCATGCCCTTTCCACCCATTACCAGCTCACTCTACCCTCCCTCAATGGCCAGTCCTTCCCCTCTGCTTCCAAGGACTTCTAGCCGGCACATCTCAGCCTTCTACGCAGCCCGAGTCTGGCCCAGACTAGCTCCTGGGAGGGAAGCCAGGCACCACAAGCGCGTTCCCTGCTCTCCCACGCAGGCTCCAATGAGCGACCCTGGCGGCCACATATGGGATTGCTATGCTCTGCAGACCAGGCCCACCTCACCAAGGACACTGGACACTCACAGGGGCCAGCGTCCTCCTGGGTTTCCCTGGACACAGCCTCTCCTGCCTGGCCCCGATGGGGAAGAGCCACATCAAGGTTTCCTCTTGGTCCCTGGTCAGTTGCTCTTCCATCCTAACCCTCTCCTTGCTCACGACTGCTCCTTGACTGCCCTAGTGCCCACCCCTGATCACACAGACAATGCAGGCCCCAGCTGGCTGAGACATGCTCCGTGTTCCAGCCAATCATTCCAGTGACCCCCAGAAGCTCCAGGTGAACTGTCCTCTCCTGGACAGTGAGAGGGAACGATACTTACAATGAGGACTAATGGTGACATTGGCCGCTGCCAGTGGGAGCCCCACGGCTAGGAGCAAGGCAAAGAGGAGCATCACTTCGTGCAGGAGCCTGGACCTAAAGGTGAGGAGGCCCAGACAACACATTAGTGAGCCATGGCTCCTTGGCCAGCTCTATGCCCCTGGCTTCAATGGCCTCCTAAGTGTCCCTGACTCTGCCCACCTGAATGCCTCCCCCACTGGGCCAACAGCTCCTCAGGTACAGCACTGGGATTGGGCAGGTCTCACTCACACACAAGGCTGCACCAGGCCTGTGCCGTCACCTCAGACAAACTCACCATCCCTCCTTGAGTCAGGGGGGTCCTGGGGCTGCTTCACATGGCAGCTTGCCCAAGGGTCCCCATGCTCCAAAATATTTTTCTGTATCTACTGGTTGATTCTGAAACTCAAAAGCAACTTGTGAAATGTTCTCAAACACTGCCCACTGATGAGCTTCCTGCTCTCACATGCAACTCAACAACATGAGGGCTAAGATGACTACAGGAATGGGAGAAAGACAGAACATGCCGGAAGCCAAACTTGAAGGCATCCTGGTGTCATTACAAGAGAACTACTCTCCCGAAATCAAGTTTTCCCTCACCCTGGGCATCACGGAGCCAGCAGCTAATTACTGACAAGGGGAGGGTCTGGGGCACCTCACAACTAAGTCCTGATGCCAGCACTGTGGGCTCAGAAATGCCCCTCAGGTCAACAACCAGTTGCCACAACTGAGACATTTTCAGGCAGGGACCCAGCTGCACCTTTACTCCTGCAAATGCACTATCTCCACCCCTACTCCCCCTTCAGCAGTCCTACTCAAAGGAGAAGCTCTGTCTCCCTTGTTCAGAACAGGTCAGTCCTCAGTGCTCAGCGGGGTACCTCCCTGGGCACAGCTGCTGACTGCACACCAGCAGCCTGCCTGCTGACTCCTCTCATGCTGAGGCCTCTCCTGGAGGGGATCAGAGCCTGATTTGTAGCTCCCCCCCCCCCCGCCCGCCACCGCAAGAGCAGCTGGGGCCACAGAATCAGAAGCTGACTGTGTAGCAAGAAGCCACACCCCAGGGACAGGGACCATCAGGATCCGGTACCCACTTTGCCCCACCCTGTGTACTAAGCCCAGCTCCAGTGGGGAAGGCTGAGATTTTATGTATGTGCCTCCAGCCCTAGGTCATCAAGTTTGAGAAGAAAGATGGGCTGGTACCTCTAGGATGCAGGAGACCAAGACTGAGGGCCTGTCAGTGCCCACACTTGGAAGGGGCTCCTGACTCACCAGGCCGGTCAGCTTCCCTAGCGGTCAGGTCTTTCTGACAAACACCTTCCATCCTGAAGCTATCTTAGGGGCCCCAGTCAGTTGCCTCATTAGCATACAAAAAGACATCTTAATCGTTCCAGAGATCCCCAGAGTGTTAGTGGCTCCTGTGTGAGGAATCAGACAGAATTCTCCTCGAAATCTGAGGGAAACTAGTTCCAGGTCACCCCTGCTTCTTGGATACCAGAATCTTTGGATGCTGAAGTTCCTCATAGAAAATGGCTTAGTATTTACATATAATCTATGCCAGGCATCCCCAAACTTTTTACACAGGGGGCCAGTTCACTGTCCCTCAGACCGTTGGAGGGCCGCCACATACTGTGCTCCTCTCACTGACCACCAATGAAACAGGTTCCCCTTCCTGAAGTGCGGTGGGGGGCCGGATAAATGGCCTCAGGGGGCTGCATGCGGCCCACGGGCAGTAGTTTGGGGACAGCTGATCTATGCATATCCTCCTGTATACTTAACCATCTCTAGATTATAATGTCTGATACAATGTACATGCCATGTAAATAGTCGTGATATTGTATTGGTCTTTTATTTATATTTTTAATTATTGTATTGTTATTCATTTTTTCCCTAAATATTTTTGATCTGTGGTTGGTTGAATCCTTGGATGTGGAAGCTGCAGAAACAGAGGGCCAAATGCACTAAGAGCAAACATTTTGAAAAAAAAATAAAAAATGCTCCTATCACCCCATTACTCAGGAAATCACAAAAGTTTTAGGAGCTCTGTGCCAGGAACTGCAGATAACGACCAAATACATCTCTCATAATAGCACAGACAATACAACAGAAACACAAGTAAAACCACAGTTCACTAAAATGCTGGTATTGGCATACAGATGCTTTAAAATAACTATAATGAGAATATGAAACAGAAAAAGATAAAATTGATTTAAATAATATAAAAACTATCAAAAGATAAATTAAACCTATCAAAAGAATCAAATGGACATCCTAGAAAAGAAAAATAAACTATTCAAAATTTAAAAATCACTTGGATGACATGAATACCCAATTGGACTCAGCAAAAGAGAAAATTAGAAAATGTAAAAACAGGCCTATAAAAAGTATCCAAACTGATACCCAGAAAAAGGAAAAGAAGAAAATGAACAGAATCAGGGCAAAGAGACACCCAGACGAGAGTCGCCTATAGAGCACACACACAACTGGAGTACCACGAGTGGACAAAGAAATAGAGGAAATATTTTATGAAATACTGGCAGGTAAATTTTCCAAGAGGAATGAAAGGGATCACCCCAAAAACTTGAAAAGTTCCACAGGCCCAAAGCAGAATAAGTGCCAGGAAAACCAATCTTAGACACGCCACACTGGAACCACTGTGAACTTGAGAAAAGCGAAACTCTTAGAAGCAGCCATAGGAGGAACAAAGACATATCTTAAACAGCAGCAACCCACACTATGGCAGGTCTTCCAACACAAACCATAAAAAACAGAAAAAACAAAAGAATCGTATAGCTTCAACAGCAAGGAAAGAAGGAAGTTACACCGAGCGTTCTATTCCACTGACGTGAAAACGTATTCGGAAATGAAGACACCATTAAGATGGCTTCGGACAAAAAGCTGGAATATTTTACCAGCAGATCCACTACAAGAAATATTGAGTTTACAACATATTTTGAAATAAAATACATGACAATATCCCAAAGCAAAGGAGGCCACAGAGCTGCAAGGCAGAAACAGTTCTGCCCGCGCCAGCGAGTGACGGCTTCCCGGCGAGGACAGGCTTCAGAGCCCAGCGCGGTGTCGGACCCCAGAGGGCACTTTGTGACCACGGTGGCACTGAGCAGTGAGTCACCCCTGCAAGGATAACTGGAAAACCTTCTCAGTAGAAGTCAAGAATATTTTGGGCACAGCGATGATAAAGGATGAAAAGCAGGAACGTGGCAGCAGCAGCCTGAAAGGACGCTGCAGGGACGCTGCAGGGAGGGCCGGGTTCCACCGGGAGAGGAGCCGAGGCTGGAACCGAAGCCGCCGCCTCCCCGTCCAAAGCAAGGAACCGCAAAGGAATGGGGAGCAGAATGCGGAAGGGGCTGCGGCCCCGAGAGACCCCCGTTTCGGGAAATCACTGGCAGTGTGGGGGTGGGGTGGCCCCCGGGACACCCAGAGCGAAGGAGGCTCAAGAAGAGAACGGGCCCCACCCCCAGACTCCCGAGGGAAGCCGAGCTCCAAAGGGAGGGGGGCCCTGGGACCCCTGAGAGGAGCAGATTTGGGGACTGTCTCCCTGGGACCCTTGAAAGAATTTGGGGGTCTCCCTGGAACCGTGAGGGGAGCGGAGTTGAGGGGTCTCCCTGGAACCCTGAGGAGAGCAGAGTTCCGGGGGGGTCTCCATGGGACCCCGAGGGGAGCGGAGTTGGGGGGTCTCCCTGGAACCCCGAGGGGAGCGGAGTTGGGGGGTCTCCCCGGGACCCCGAGGGGAGCGGAGTTGGGGGGTGTCCCTGGAACCCTGAGGGGTTGGGGGGTCTCCCTGGAACCCTGAGGGGAGCGGAGTTGGGGGGGTCTCCCTGGAACCCCGAGGGGAGCGGAGTTGGGGGGTCTCCCTGGAACCCCGAGGGGAGCGGAGTTGGGGGGTGTCCCTGGAACCCTGAGGGGTTGGGGGGTCTCCCTGGAACCCTGAGGAGAGCAGAGTTCCGGGGGGGTCTCCATGGGACCCCGAGGGGAGCGGAGTTGGGGGGTCTCCCTGGAACCCTGAGGGGAGCGGAGTTGGGGGGGTCTTCCTGGGACCCCGAGGGGAGCGGAGTTGGGGGGTCTCCCTGGGACCCTGAGGGGCGTTTAGTTCCCAAGGAAGTAGGGGTCCCTCCCCGGGAAGCGCGGCACCCCCGCGGCGTTGTCAGGGGGTCCAGGCGGCGCGGAGGCGGCTCCCCGGAGCAGACTCACCGTCTCCCAAACCGACCCGCGCCTCGGAGCCTGCAGCGATCCCAGCGGCCCGCGCGGCCGTCCGCCCCGCCCCCTTTCTGGAACCTTCCGGGGCTCTGCCCTCCCGCCGGTGCCCACACGTTGGCAAGGGCCCCTTGGGCCCCAGGTGAAAATACTTCCCACGGAAATCTGCACGCCCCGGCCTGGTCCACGCGCCCCTCGGGAAAGCCACGGGGAACATTCTAGAAGCCCGCGGTCCCTGGGCCGCCTGCGGGCACCGCCAGGCCCGCCCCGCCCTCGAGGTCCGCGTGCCCCGCCCGCGCCCCCGGCCCCTCCCGCCGGGCGGTCCCGCCGCCCCCGCCCCGTCACCGACGGGGACCCGGAACCCTCCGCGCAGCCGCGACGCGCCGCCTCCGGGGCCCGAACCCGCCGCGGCCCGCGCGGCCCCGCCGAGGTCCCGGGGAGCCCGCCTGGCCTCCGCCCGCGCTCCGCGAGGTCGCCTCGAGGCTGCGGGCGGCCGGACGGCCTCGGCCCAGCGCCTCCTGCGGGGCGAAGGACACGGGGGGATGCGTTTCTGAAGGGGAAACGCTTCATCCGGGAGGGAGCCATGGCCGCCGGGGGTGCGGGGCGGGCCGGCCGGCCTCCTTCCCAGAGGAGGCGTTCTGGAATTCGCGGCGGCCCCCGCCTGCCGTCCCAGCGCTTGGCCGGCGGAGTCGGGCAGATCACTTGAGGTCAGGGGTTCGAGACCAGCGCGGCCAACGTGGGGAAGCCCCGTCTGTACTAAAAATACAAAGGTGAGCTGTGCGTGGTGGCGCAGACACTCGGGAGGCTAAGGTCACGGGTTCGAGACCAGCGCGGCCAACGTGGGGAAGCCCCGTCTGTACTA